AAAAGCATCATTGATAAGAATGGAGACTATTTTATTCAATAAATGTTTTGTTTGATATATAAGTTGTTCGGGTTTTTATATCTGAAAAAAAAGCGACATTAATTTATTGACGACCTAATACATAAAACAAAGGCAAGTGTTTGTGGTTGGTATTTTGAAGTGTAAAAAGAGGAAATGGGGAAATAAACCTTTATTGGATCCCTCACCATTTCAGTGTGAGTTACAATGGAAGCTAAAAAGAAAAGAAAGATAAATTAAAAAATAATACCTCTAAATGTTAAAGAAAATAAGTTAAAACCCCAAGGTGAAACAATGGCTAAAAGTCTATAAAAGCCTAAATTTAAAACTCTACAAGATCTTTATCTTAGTCAAAATCTACCTAAAAGGGGGAGAACTTTATTTTAAGTCAAATAACAACATAATACACAAACAAAGACGGGTTGCTCACTGTATGCATCTCATAACGTTCAATCGTTGGGAAGCGGAAGCCCTAAACCATTACACGTTTCACTGACAGGAAAGATACCCCCCAATTTGGGGACATCACGAGTGAAGTCACAGCTATCATTAAAAAAAAAACACGTTTAATAACTGATCAGTGGATCTAGCCTCTGTAAAACTAAAGTAAAGAGAAGTTGAGTTGTTTACTTTAGCAAATTTGTGTATCCAAACTGAACTGAAGGAGTATAGAAATTTCGAAAAATGTACATATTAACTAAGAGTAGAGCAAACACGTGGTAATGTCCTGTACCACACATGTGAGTTATATGTCGTTTCTCTTATTTAAATTGTTGTTCCTGGTGTAATACATCTGTATCACATTGTTGGTTTCACTTGATTTTTACATTGTTGCTTCTATTAGCATAGTAGCTCTTTATGTAATACACTTATATCACATGATCATATTGTTGGTGTTAATGGATTTTACATTGTTGTAATTTTTATGCCTACAACTATACAGAACAATGTTAGGATGATATATTATTATTGAATTAAAAGAAAACTGTCTCGAATTACGTCATTCTAAAATATTAATACAAAATTAACTACAAGATTACGAAATTTTCATGAATGTTAACTGGTAAGTAATATACTCACCACGTGTATTATGCAAAGAACTTTTCATAACCAGAAATCAAATAATAATTTCTCTGTCTAGAGTTGAAACAGAAAGGTCAGCTTTTATTAAAACATCAACTTGGAAATTGTAGTTTAATGTGAGATCAATTATTTCAGGTCTTAAACTGACTGTTTAATTATTTAGTTTTACATGAGCGTTTAGTGAAGTAATCGTGTAGTATTTGACGGCGTGTTTAATAAAGTAATTTTAGATGAAATGTTTAATGGTGTAGTTTTAGATGGAGAGTTTAATAAAATAACTTAAGATGTACTCTTTAATAATCAAACTTTTAGACAGGGTGTTTAATGAAGTAGTTTAAAGCGTAGCGTTTAAAGACGTAGTTTTAGACCGAGTGTTTAATGGTTCAGTTTTAGACATAGTGCTCAATGATGTAGCTACAGACGGGGTGTTTAATGATGTATGTTTATAAAGAAAATTTAATGATGTATGTTTATAAATAAAGTTTAATGATGTATGTTTATAAATAAAGTTTAATGATGTATGTTTATAAAGAAAATTTAATGATGTATGTTTATAAAAATAGTTTAATGATGTATGTTTATAAAGAAAGTTTAATGATGTATGTTTATAAAGAAACTTTGATGATGTATGTTTATAAAGAAAGTTTAATGATGTATGTTTATAAAGAAAGTTTGATGATGTATGTTTATAAATAAAGTTTAATGATGTATATTTATAAATAAAGTTTAATGATGTATGTTTATAAAAATAGTTTAATGATATATGTTTATAAAGAAATTTTAATGATGTATGTTTATAAATAAAGTTTAATGATGTATCTTTATAAATAAAGTTTAATGATGTATGTTTATAAAGAAAATTTAATGATGTATGTTTATAAAAAAGTTTAATGATGTATGTTTATAAAGAAAGTTTAATGATGTATGTTTATAAAGAAAGTTTGATGATGTATGTTTATAAAGAAAGTTTAATGATGTATGTTTATAAAGAAAGTTTGATGATGTATGTTTATAAATAAAGTTTAATGATGTATATTTATAAATAAAGTTTAATGATGTATGTTTATAAAAATAGTTTAATGATGTATGTTTATAAAGAGAGAGTTTAATGATGTATGTTTAAGCCGCTGCACACGAAACGTTCATACAGTACAAATATACCGTATGAACGTCGGTCTCACATATTTCATTACCCACCTTCTCGCTCAGATAAACCCTCATTCGCAGCTCTAAAGTTGTAAAACCAACTCCTGCCAAACTCGGACCGTACGTTCAGTTTCTTACCAATTTCAACTGGATCTTTGTGGTATCCACCTGAGTTCTTCGCCAGATTTCATCGCAACTGGTTCATCTAGCTCCTGGCAACAGCTCGTGACACCATAGAGACAGTGGAAGAATTTCCCCCTCCCTCTCTCTCTCTCTCTCTCTATATATATATATATATAGACTATCGTACACAAATAAATCAAGCATCCGTCCTGGCTTCATCATAAAAACTGATACGATACAGCATATCCAATACTGTTGCATAATTAAATACAATCCAAAAAACGTAACATATAAAATTTGATTTTTTTCTTTTCTCTCATAGATCGAAACTTTAGTCGAAAAACTTTTGTCCGTGAATTCGTTTTACTGTCAGCGTTTGTTTTCAAGGCTAACAAGAGATACAAGCAACCGATCAACAAGATCACGAGATAATATATCAAAATAACTCGCATTAATTCAAAGAGTATTTCTTTATAAGTTGTTATCTTTTTAAGGAATACGCTGAAAATACGTTACAGATTTTATTTGTGTATACGGAGTACCAGAAAAAGAAAATACAGGACTTAGTTGTGCAAGTTTTTTTTTTTCCACACCCTGAGTAACCGAGATTTTCTGTTCATTATTATATTTGTTTAAAACTCAACAGCGTAAGACCTAGATAAACACCTACCATAACAAATATTATGCTTCTCGTTTCAAGTAGAGTTCTAAAAAAAAAACATTCGCTGTATATTTTCACACGTTGAAGTTGCTTAAACTCACCTTTTCATGTGATACTTAAGAAGGAGCACATTTAAATGTTAGGGGGAGCAGCTGCTGCCTGACGGTTCTCGGTCCCAGCTCGGGTAGATCAACTTGTAAAATACACAAATTAACACTTCTGGGACAGAGGAGTTCGCCTGTTGCATGAATCGTGAATTCTTTGAGGGTTCCCATGAATGAAAAACTAGAGGCTTCTCACTTTCTTTTTTCGGATTTTTTTAAAGTTCATTAAGGTTTAATTATAATTAAGTCCACCAAGGTTTAATTCCATTCATTTTATAATTCCCATATTCTTTAATTTACGTTAAATTAGCAAGACGACTTAAATATTCTTGTCCTAAGTATCTTTGATTTACGTTAAATTAGCAAGACGACTTAAATATTCTTGTCCTAAGTATCTTCAGAGGCCTAGGTATGCCACTGGACGTCGACAGTAAAATAAAACCATTTTAAAAATAGGTTTATTTATCCAAACAACCATGTTACAGATGGTAACTGTTACCCATTATTGTATCTAGTGTTTGTACGAGAAATAGCTTATCTAAACATATTCATATGTAAAGTTAATCTTGGATTTAAATGGACATATCTTACAAACAACACACACCAGAGAAGAAAAAATGTCTTTACAAAAGAAGATCACAGTAACATATCCTGCTGTTAGAGATGGACAAATTATAGAATTCCTCACAACACGTGGATCTGATTGGTGTTGTTTTGTGTCGTTCCTCCTACTTAAAGGTTAACCCGAACAATATTGACAGGGTTTGGGTTCGGAGCTTCCTCAAAATTATCTCTCAAATGTCTTGAGGTTGGAATTAACCCAGTCGAAGTAGTGAGTAAGACGAGTATAAACGTCGGGAAACCCAGGTTTAGCACAACCTGATCCAAATGACGTCACTCCGGCCAAGTACCATTTACCATCTTTCTTACACTGCAAGGGTCCTCCAGAGTCGCCCTGGTGGAAAGAGTAACAAAATTATCCACACTACAGCTAACTGATGATCTGATCAATTTTACCTTTCTACACACACTACAGCTAACTGAAGATCTGATCAATTTAACCTTCCTACACACAGTACAGCTAACTGAAGATCTGATCAATTTTACCTTTCTACACACAGTACAGCTAACTGAAGATCTGATCAATTTTACCTTTCTACACACAGTACAGCTAACTGAAGATCTGATCAATTTTAACTTTACACACAATACAGCT